TGTTTTATTTGTTTTCTCTTTTGCATGTATGATCCACATGGCCCCTTCCTGGGTCTTCCTAAAACCTCTGGACATCTAGAGCCATCATATCCTTTAATATCCAAATTGAATGGTTGGTGCTACCATTTCATGTGCTGTGGGACCTCCAGAATTCTCCTTAAGTTTTTCCAAAATATCCTAGAAGGAGTTATGTTCTCCTAGTCATTCATGCTGTGATCTGCTTTCCTGCTTTAGCTTGGATGTTAAACCACAGGTGGCTGACCTCCCTCTGTGCCCACCACATTGCTGGCACATAACCCTGTTCCTCTCCCTTTCTTTCTTGTTTCCTCTTCTTTGTATGTTACTGGTATGCCTCTTCTGCTACAAACTCAGGCTGTCAGGAAATGCGACTTTCTTGATTTTCTCATGATTGTATTTAATGACCACCATTTCACCTAGTGGCGAAAGCTTAATCTTAGCCAATTTCATGTGAAACGCATAATTTCTCCCTTTCCCCTTTTCTCTCCTAAATTCTGAACAGAGGTGGGGTAGGATTATATGGTGTCAGAGCACCAAAGGTGGTGGTAGAGCTGGAAGATGCCCAGGTTTTTGTTTATTTTCCCCATCTGCCCATGCCAGCCCTATTAGTCTGTTCTCGCATTGCTATAAAGACCTACTGAGACTGGGTAATTTATAAATAAAAGAGGTTTAATTAGCTCATGATTCCACAAGGCTGTGCAGGAAGCATGGCTGGGGAGGCCTCAGGAAACTTACAATCATGGTTGAAGGTAAAGGGGAAGCAGGTGCATCCTACGTGGCTGGAGCAGGAGGAAGAGAGGGAAGGGGGAGGTGCTACACACTTTTAAATAAGCAGATCTTGTGAGAATTCACTCACTGTCACGAGAACAGCAAGGGGGAGATCTGCCCCCCGATCCAATCACCTCCCACCAGGCCCTTCCTCCAACATTGGGAATTACAATTCGACATGAGATTTGGGTGGGGACACAGACAGAAACCGTATCATTGGCCTTTGCTTAAGAGTTCATCTTGTCTGGTTCTTGGCCATTCTCACTTCTTCACACTGGTATTTCTTGAGATGTTCTTTGTCACACCACTCTATGTAAGTCAAGGCTGGTGAGATTTCCTTGTTCTGACTACAAGGCCTCCCCAGGTCTGCTGGCTGCCAGTTGACACATCTGTGCCACTCTTGGCTAAAGAAAAAGACATTTCACTGATTCCTGCAGTACCCTGGGGCATCCCTGAACTCGGTGAGGATGCCTGAGGCCTGCCATCCTGACACACCACGCAGACATCTCTACCCCAACTCTGTGGTGGAGGGAGGGGCAGGTGGGTTTCAGAGGACCTTGGAGAGCTTGGCCGCCTGGAAAGCAAGGCACCAGTTTGCTTTGCTCTCTCAGATCCCCAAGCCCTCTGGGGATTTGATGCTTCCTTCCTTCCCCAGGGCTGGTGTGGGCACAGTGAGCAGAACTACTTTTCTACTCCTCAGACACCGAAGAGGAGCCTCATCTCCTTTCTTTTTCTTTCTTCCTTCTTTCTTTCTTTCTCTTTCTTTCTTTCTTTCTTTCTTTCTTTCTTTCTTTCTTTCTTTCTTTCTTTCTTTCTTTCCTTTCTTTCTTTCTTTTTTTTTTTTGACAGAAATTTAAGAAGGATATCCAGGACTTGAATCTCCTTTCTTTTCTGACTCTTCCCTTTCAGTTGCCATAATATCTACAGGTGAGTGGTGTGAGCTAAAAGGAAGTGTTTTTTGTTTGTTTTTGAGATGTGGTCTCACTCTGTCACCCAGGCTGGAATGAATGCAGTGGCACAATCATAGCTCACTGCAGCCTTGATCTCCCAGGCTCAAAGTATCCCCCTGCCTCAGCCTCCTGAATAGCTGGGACCACAGGTTCACAGCACTATGCCCAGCTAATTTTTTGTATTTTCTGTAGAGACAGGGTCTCACTATGTTGTCCAGACTGGTCTTGAACTCCTGGGCTCCAGTGATCCGCTCACCTCAGCCTCCCAAATTGCTGGAATAACAGGCAGGAGCCACGGCACCCAGCCAGAAAAAATTTTAAACCAATTGCTTAGTATTTTAAATCTATAATTTATGCCTGGAATCCTGATGGTTTAAAAAAGTCAAAAGCCAAGAATCTGCCTGTGTGTTCTGCTCTAACCTTCTTCTGCTGTAGCTGAGAAAATGGGGGTGGGGGTGAGGTGAAAGGTGTGGGGGTGTGTGTGGGGGACGGTGGGAGGTGTGGGGATGTGGGGGGATGGGGGAGGGGGAAGAGTCAAGGTCAGAAAGATGGAAGTGCTAGTAACAAGAACCACACTGGATAACATTTCAAAATAATATCCTGGTACTTGACTACGTCTTTTCCCGAAGCTTTGAAAGAACAGAGGGTCTTGACAGCATAAGGCCTTGGAGGGAGCCATATTAACTGTCCCCAGCCATACTCCAGGCCTCCAGGAATTTCTTCCTGGCAGTCCCCTCCTCAAGCCCTGTCCCTTTCATAGTTAGTCAGCTATTTCCCTTCTCAGTCCTACTCCCCAGTCTACCTCCCTTTCTGGGACACCTACAGACTCTCCAAATTCAGCACATTTATTTAGCTTCCTTTTTGTGTCACACACTTCTTCCAGACCAAGGCTTGGAGTAGGGAGTGGGAGTTCTTTCGCTTTTAAAGCTGCCCTCTAGGAAATTGCCTATAAAAGGAGCTATTCCACACCCCACAATGCGCAAATGGGGGTGAATTACACCTCCCTCCCATTCCATTAATTGAAAGCAACCGCTGTCCTTTTTTTTTTTGAGACAGTTTCGCTCTTGTTGCCCAGGCTGGAGTGCAATGGCACTATCTCAGCTCACTGCAACCTCCGCCTCCTGGGTTCAAGCAATTCTCCTGCCTCAGTCTCCCAAGTAGCTGGGATTACAGGTGCCTGCCAACACGGCCCACTAATTTTTTGTATTTTTAGTAGAGATGGAGTTTCACCATGCTGGCAGGCTGGTCTTGATCTCCTAATCTCAGATGATCCACCCGCCTCGGCTTCACAAAGTGCTGGGATTACAGGCATGAGCCACCCACTATGCCCAGCCCCTATTTTGTTTAAAATAAAAAAAAATTTCCTTCCTCTTTCACCTATGTAAAAAATTATTTTTGTTTATTTTCTTGAATTATGGTTACCTTTTAAAAATGGACAATGCTTGATCAAGGATTTTCGATTAGTTTTACAAAGTACCACACCCAAGAAAATTGAGCCAACGAATTTGCATGCAAAGCTTCAGGTCTCCTTACTTCTAAAAATGCATACCTCCTTAACAGCGCTCCACCTCCAATGCTTTAGAGAACCGAAACCCAAACCTACAGCAGGCACACTGCCCAGTTCCCTCAGTGACGCAGAAACTGAATGAAAACTTATTAAAGCAGGAGGGGTTAGAGATGCAGGCGAAGTTTAAGTGCACACGTGGTTTACCTTGAATATTAAGTGCATGTGGTCTACCTTGAATATTAAGCATGATTTCTTTACGTAGGTGTGGAGCTTCACAGTGTCCCATGACTGTGCATAATGTCAGTGTTTCTTTTCTTTCTTTCTTTTTGTTTTGAGACAGAGTCTCACTCTGTCACCCAGGCTGGAGTGCAGTGGTACAGTCTTGGCTGACTGCAACCTCCACTTCCCAGGTTCAAATGATTCTTCCGTCTCACTTTCCTGAGTAGCTGGGATTACAGGCACACGCCACCATGTCCAGCTAATTTTTGTATTTTTAGTAGAGACAGCGTTTCACTATATTGGTCAGGCTGGTCTGGAACTCCTGAGATTACAGGCGTGAGCCATCGCACCTAGCATCAGTGTTTATTTTCATGGCTGCTTTTATTTCATTATGATCAAGAGTTTCACAACAAACTATTTTAGGGAATTAATTTGTATTTTTGTCTGCATTTAATCCTTTAAAAGTCAAGTAATTCTAGAAAGGAATGTGTGGGGGATGCTTTCACATTTAGTGTTCAGACTTCAATTCTATCCCATGTATTCTTTGCCTCTCAACCCCATTACATTTCAACCCCAGTTTTAATTTTTCCGGGGAATATATAACTCTCTTCTCCTATAAGAGTGGGAACCATAGGTCTAATTGCTTCACATGTAGAGTCAAACACTCCTCCCATTCTGCAACCCACTGCCCTTCCTCAGCCTCTGTAGCATCTCTGGTGTGCAATTCTGAGCTTTGGCAGGATTCCATCTCTACTTTGCAAAATCCCATACCATTCCTCTACCTGAGGCAGGAGAATAGGATTTAAGAAAATAGGAGGGAGGGAACCTAAGGCTAATTCACACTTCAGCTGTAACAGGAAATACCCTCTCCATAGGGTGTTAACGTTGGTTTCCTCATCTATAAAATGGAGAGAATACTCATTCCTACTTTGGAATGTGCTTGTTAGGATGAGTAAATTGCTTCATGCAGTGTCTGACACGTAGTGGGTTCTTGATAAATCTTTGTTAACAGATATACCTTTGTATTGATTATTAGCTGCAAGAGGCATTCATTCAAATACATATTCAAATAATCTTTTAGCTATATTGCTGCTTGTATATGGATTTCTCTTGTCTTCTGTGAACTCCCTTACATCTCCAGGACCTCAATACAGGAATAAGGCATACTCCAAAGATTTCTTGCACTTCCTAGAATTAAACGCTGTGACTTTAGCTTCCTTCCTTTGGAATTTAGGAGGCAGAGTCATGTACTGAGGTGGGTAAAGTGGGGTAGGAAGATCATATCTGGGAAAATGGACCAGAGTATTGATTTTTTCATTATGACCCCTCCGCTTCATTAAATCATTTATTGAGCAAGTGAAACGCTTGGCGCTTGTCACTCATGTTCTATTTATTTATTTATTTATTTAAGCCATCTCCTACAGGAAGGATATTAGTTCTTTCATTCTTTCACCGGTAAGGTGTAATCTTCCAACATCTGACTTTGCCGTCATCCATTGGGAAAAGAGGCGGTCCCTTTAAGGCCCTGGAAAGGGTCTAAGTGTTGGTTTCAGTGGGGAGGCCACGCCCCATCACGTGAACGCAGGCCCAGCGGGGCGGGGTCTGCGTCTCCTGGCTGCCGTCATTTCCGGTTCTCTGTCAGTCGCGAGCGAGCGAGCAGGAGAGTGTGCGACTGCTAGAGCCGAGCGGAGCGTGAGTGCGCGGAACCCTCTACCCCTACTCCTCGGGGCCCCTATCCAGCCCACCCCACCCTCCCAGCCGGGCAGTGAGCTGCCTTCGGCCCTCTGCTCCCCTAGCCGGCAACAGCCGCGGGAAATGGCGGCTCTGCCTTACCTCCCCCTTCCCCGCCTCGGCGTCTCCAGGCCCCCTCCTCCGTCCCCGACTCCGTGCCTGAAGCTCTGTGGACCCTTCCGCACTATACACCGGTCTCCGGGAGCCGATTCAAGGCGGCAGGCGCTGCGGCCTGAGGCAGCGGATTGAGGCCGTCTCGGGGGCGAGGAGCCGCGGGGAGGGGGTCGCGGCGTCCCCGGGACAATGCGGAGGCGGCTGGCCGAGGTGGGGCGCGTGCGGTACCCGCTCTTCCCCCGGCCCTCGCCCTGAGGGGGCGCTCTGGAGACTGGGAAAGCGGATGCGGGCGGGAGTGGGCGGCGGGAGGAGGCCAGCGGAAGAAGCTCTGATGTGCGGGGAGAGGGAACGCTTCGAGAGAAGAAAATGGCGCTTGGTGCAAGTCCCGCCTCTTCCCACGCCGTCTCCTCCGCACTTCGCCGCCTCCCACGCCCCCTCTGACCAACCTGTCTCCCCTCGCCAGAGCGGCTGCTAGCCACGGGGTGCTAGCGGCTTACTGGGGCCGCACGACCCCTTCCCTGGTCTTGCGCTTGTCATCCTTCTGTTATACCGAAGTTGTGTGCCCTTAAGTCCTGGTTCATTTTCACCTCGTTTTTTTCTCATCTTCCCCTCAGTCAGCAAAGGCTGGAGATTTCGTTTCTCTTTTTAAAGTTGCGTTTTGCATAAATTCTACAATAGTGGTTTCAGTGTCAATTACTTGAATTACAAGCTGCTTCCCCCCCACCCCCCACATTGGAACAGGCTCGTTAAGGTAAAAATGTATTTGAAAGTTTAGAGGCTGGCTTTAGTTACCGTTACTTTTCTTCTCCAGTGGACTTCTTGGGTTGAATACCAGGTGGTTCTTTGAGAAGTTCTTGGGCCCCCAGGCAGTTTTTAATAACAGACGGTAGTTATGTTCCACCATTTCAAAGTGAAAAATAAATTATGTTCAATTTAATTACCTTTTAAAAAAAGATCTTTTTTTATTTGTATTAGCATTAAAAAGTGAACTAAATTGATTTTGGAGATTAGGTTGCAAAATGGAGCAGAAATAGGAAAAATGGATAACACGTGGTCATGAACGTTGCTTTTCCCTTCTGAATTTACTCTTCAAGACATCACCAGTTAAAATCAGCATGTCTGGGTTGGGCATGGTTTGAGCTCTTTGAATTGAGTGGCCAGGATTGGGATGGCCCATTTCTTTTACCTTGACCTGCTATTTAGGAACACATGCAACGTCAGTTCTAATGCAGGTTTCGTCTGGAGAGCTAGATCATTTATGATTTTTTTATTTTCAGGAGGAATTTAAGGTTTTTTTTCTTGTACTCAGCAAATATAGTGTGTACTGTGTTTATTAAACCTTTTAAGGCATACAGAAATTACCCATTTATGCCTAGTGTTCCATTATTGGAACGCTAAGCATGTGGGTGTTATTTATGTCTTGCTGCTCAAGGTCATCGCCAAGGTCTGATTGCAAAAATTCAAAAAATTGCAACCACTGGCATAAGTGGGTTAACAGGACCTAATCTCTTCTGAAAAGGGGAGAGCAAAGTTATTTGATAATTGGCATTTGCGATCTGGTATTATTAGTGCCTTGAAAAGAGGTATCCACATATCTTGGAATTCCTTGAAATTTGGGTCTTAGGCTTACTGATGATAGTTTGCTTTCTACAAACTTGCACTTAGTAAACATCCACTTGTAAGCAAGGCACTTAGCTATGTATATCTCTGGGGGGACCAGGGGAGCTACCAGCAGGGTAGGAATTTGAGAGAAGGTTTTGCCCTTCACAGAAATAGGCTGTTCAAATTTTAATTGTGTTCCAGAGTAGAAAAAAATCAGTGTAAAATGTAATGAATTTCTGTGAATGGCATGTGACCTTGGCTCACTGCAACCTCCACCTCCCGGGTTCAAGTGATTCTCCTGCGTCAGCCTCCTGAGTAGCTGGGACTACAGGCTTGCCACCACTCCTGGCCAATTTTTGTATTTTTAGTAGAGATGGGGTTTTACAGTGTTGACCAGGCTGGTCTGGAACTCCTGAGCTCAAGTGATTCGCCTGCCTTGGCCTCCCAAAGTACTGGAATTGCGGGTGTGACCCATCGTGCCTGGCCTGAATTGTGTATAATTTTGTGTACTTTGAATTAGTACGTGTTATTTTGGTAATACGTCTAAACAGTCAAAATTAACATGTAAAATATGAATAAATATATGGAAAAATTAATTAGATGTCACATTTGCATAGTACAGCTAGTTCCCTGTTGTGTAAATGTTGGGGTCCATTCCCTACAGTGAATAACTTTACATTAGTTCTGATCTCATTGGTGAGAAGTCTAAAGCGGTGATAGTAGAATTACATTTATTTTCTGTTTTTAACAGTAATTGTCTGCTGCCTTCTTGCAGTCTACCCTACCCGTAGTGTGTCCTGCCACTAAAACAAAGTATAGAAAGATCCATTGGCTTGGAGAAAGGTTAGATGTGTAGAGTGTATGACATTTAGTTCATTTTTCTTAATGGGTTCACCCTGCATGTTATTTGCAACTTAGAAGAGTATAGATAAATACTTGTGCTCATAACAACTCCAGTTCCACAAAAATGGTAGAATGAACTATGTAACTTGTCCTTGATTTTTTTCTTTGATTGGGGAGAGCTAAGTTGAAAGTAATAGAGTAGCTTGTTAATTATTTATGTGATGCGTTTCTTTTTTTTTTTTTTTCAGGATGCCTAAATCAAAGGAACTTGTTTCTTCAAGCTCTTCTGGCAGTGATTCTGACAGTGAGGTTGACAAAAAGGTGACTATTACTGCACCAAATCATGTTGGTGATATTCAGCAATATTGTCTATGTCCCATTCTGACAGATGGTAAAAGGCATATTAACATCTTAAAAGGATCTAGCTGGGTGCGGTAGCACATGCCAGTAATCGTAGTACTTCGAGAGGCCAAAGGTGGGAGGATTGCTTGATCCCAAGAGTTCAAGACCAACCAGGCTAACATAGCAAGACCTCGTCTCTTTAAATGAAAAAAGGAAGATGAGAATGCGAGTGGGTATTTCTGGAGGTGTGGTTGGCACTAGAAAAGCCTAGGATGCTTCTTGCACATTCATACTCATAGGCCCTAAATCAGACTTAAGTCTTCTGTTGAAAACCATTAGAATCCCTAAAGTTGCAGAACCACTGCCTTGGACCCTAGGGGCCTAAAATTCTAAGTAGGCCAAAGTCACTATTTGCCATTATTTAGAAATTTACCTGATATTTTTTGGTAAAATGCCAATTTTTTTTTTAAGGCAGGATCTTGCTCTTTTTCCCAGGCTGGAGTGTGGTGACACCATCATGGGTCACTGCAGCCTTGACTCCTGATCTCAAGCAATCCTCCCACCTGTGCCTTCAGAGTAGCTGGGATTACAGGTGTCATGCTGGTTAATTAAAAAATGTTTTCGTAGGGATGAGGTCTTGCTATGTTTTTAAGGCTGGTCTTGAACTCCTGGCCTCATGCAGTTCTGCCTTAGCCTTCCAAAGTGCTGGGATTACAGGCATGAGCCACTGTAAGTGACCATAAAATGTTAATTTTGACAGCTCTCTCAGTTACTGGTGTTTATTCTGCACATGAGGATTTCTGAATTTTAGACTTGATACATTAAGTTTGAATGTACCAAGTTTGTGCTGTGGTCCCTTCCTTCTAGTTAAATCGGCACCCAAGAAAGCTAACTTGAAACCCATTTTGACAAGATAGGCCTTTTCTGCATTAGATGACAGCTGCATGGTAATTGGTGCATTTCGCTAAATTGAGCGTCTCAGTGGAGCAGAACTGATCATCTCACTCTGCGGTCAAGTCTTCCTTCCTGGAGTACTGTCCTTTATCTCATAGAACTTTACATATCTGAATATATATTTATGTCCTAGAAATAGAATAAGTTGGTTGTGTTTTTCCTAATTAGCATATATCCTTTGTAAAATAAATAATGACTAGCACTAGTAGACCTGTGGTTTCTAAAAGTTTATTCAAAAGCAGGCTCCCCATCTTTTTTTTTCCCCTCCTGAAGCTTAGTTAGCAATTTTAGCTAAAAGAAAAGGGGAGAGTATATGGGAGACTGGAGAATTTGCAACCTTAAAGTATAAATACAGAATATAACAAGACTTGGAAGAGTAAAATAAGGTTTCAAAGACTACATAGCTATGCTTGAGTAAATTTCTTAATTTTAAAATTTGAATGTTATATAGTGTTTGAATATGTTCATGTAACAAATGTGTATTGAACTTTTATTTGCCAGACATGCACTAATCCACTAGGAATACTTAGAGCCTCATTTATAGAATAATTGCTTTCTGCATTTTGAACTGAGTTAACTTTTTGTTTGTCTCAAATAGTAATATTAATCTTGTAGACACTTATATACCATGTTTTTCATTTCACGTTTTATATGTATAAGTTTTTCCTAGCTTTATCTAATTTGGTAATATTCAATTAATTTAGTAACGTTAAAATATTAATACAATTCTATCAAGAAGGAACATGATTGCCCTCTACTGTTTGGGTTGAATTCTAGTGGTTTTTATGGGCTGTTAGCTCTTTTTGAGAATGGAACTTTATAATAAGCTTTTAAAATAATGCTGTTTTTAAAACACTGTTGTGATTTTTGAAAGCTAGTTTAACACATACCTGTCTATTTTCAGTGATTTTCTTTTTTTTGTGATAAGGAAGTTCATGAGTTGTTGGCGCTCAGTGCCCAGTGCAAAATTGCTCTCTTCAGATTTGCCTAATCATAACTTCTTTTTTTATTTGAGACGAAGTTTTGCTTTTGTTGTCCAGGCCGGAGTTGAGGCTGGAGGGCAATGGTGTGATCTTGGCTCACTGCAACCTTCTTCACCTCCTGGGTTCAGTTGATTGTCCTGACTCACCCTCCTGAGTAGCCGGGATCACAGGCGTGTGGAACCACGCCTGGGTATTTTTTGTGTGTGTTTTAAGAGGAGATGGGGGTTTTACCATGTTGGCCCAGGCTGGTCTTGAACTCCTGACCTCAAGTGATCCTCTCACCTTGGACTCCCAAAATGCCACGCATGGCCCATAAATTCCTTAAGCCAGCTTAAATCCCTTTTGGAATAGGCAGGACATAAAGAAACATTCATATCCTGGAAATGGAATAAGCTGGTTGTATTCTTTTAATTAGTATATCTGCTTTGTAAAATTAAGTAACTGACTAGCTTTAGTAGACCTGTGGTTCCCAGGTTTATTCAGAAGCAGCAAGGTCCTTCCATCTTTTTTTTTCTACCAAAGAAATCTCATGGGATCCCAAACCACAGAAATGACTGTTGCTGTGGTTAATACTATTCTGATGCCTGAAGTGTCTTTTAGGATTCTGAGAACAGAGTTTGAAAACATTACTAAGTATAATGATTGGTTAGATTCATAGTTTTGTTGTTGAGTGAAACTTGCTTTTGTATACGTTTATGATATTTTGGATGTAGTCTTTTGAATCTGTTGACACTGAGATGTGTTTTATTCTTATGCATGCAAATTTTAACCATATTTTTGCTTTTCTTTTTTAGTTAAAGAGGAAAAAGCAAGTTGCTCCAGAAAAACCTGTAAAGAAGCAAAAGACAGGTGAAACTTCGAGAGCTCTGTCATCTTCTAAACAGAGCAGCAGCAGCAGAGATGATAACATGTTTCAGGTAAAGTTGGCCTTTTTTTTTTGAGACAGTGTCTCCCTCTGTTGCCCAGGCTGGAATGCAGTGGTGCAATCTTGGCTCACTGCAATCTCTCTGCCTCCTGGGTTCAAGTAGTTCTCTGCGTCAGTTTCCTGAGTAGCTGGGATTATAGGTGCTTGCCACCACACCTGGCTAATTTTTGTATTTTAATATGTGTGCTGCCAAGGCAAGCACTATTTTTGTATTTTTAGTAGAGACGGGGTTTCACCATCTTGGCCAGGCTGGTTTTGAACTCTTGACCTCGTGATCCACCTGCCTTGGCCTCCCAAAGTGCTGGGATTACAGGCATGAGTCACCACCTCCAGCCAAAGTTGGCTATTTCTTTAGATTCAGAGGAATTATTATTTGGCTTGATCTGAAGAATGTCAAAAGTACTGTAATCTGTATTGCATAATATGTGTGTTACAATCCTCTTTGCTAGGAACATTTATTAAAATAGAACAAACTAGTAAAAGTAATACAATGCTGGGTTATTGTTAAAGTCTCTAAAAGTCTAGTTTTGCTGTATTTAAACTAATGCAAGTTTAAATTTTACAGAAATCCAAAAAATTAGATTAAGAACTGCACATTTAGAAAGCAACTTGGAGGAGGCAGGTCAAGTGTTGGACAGTAAGGTATGAATAGATTATTACCAGAGAGGAAGCAGCAGTATGACCTGCCTAACTTTTACCTGATGAGCAACAGAAAAGGGGAATGGGTTGAATAGGTCAAGTGAAGAAAGTTCATTAGAGGGACTTGATGAAATCACCTGGAAGGACTTGTATAGCTGCTTCTCTTGGGTTTCCTATCTCGTTTTAGGGAGACTTGATACTGGCATCTTTATACAAGAAGGATTTGTGAGGAAGGGGTTTTGGGAATAAACGGATGCAGGTGAGATTGCTTAGGTAATTGTAGGCTGTAATCTGTATGTGAGGTGGTAAGGGCTTAGTTTTTTCCTAAAGAAGAAATTGTGGCAGTTAAAAGATACAGGTTAAGAGGAATGGACCAGAGGAAATAGGCGGTCACTGAAGATGTGGACCTGATTGTGGATGTGATTTAAAAAAAAAAATGGAGTTTCTTTTGTAGCACCTGGAGGGCTTAGTTGGGAAATGTTCCTGTTGGGTTATCAGCATGGTTGACTAAAGCTGCCTAATGAAGTGTTAAACCAGAGGAGGAATAGGAGGCAGATGAGGGTGTGTCTTGGGTTGTATTCAGATAGAGAATGGAAGGAAAAAGATGATGTAGATTAAGAGAGAGGGTAAAGGAACATGAGAAGAGAACAGTAATGGGAGCAAGAAAGGTTGAGTGTGCGCAGGAGCCATAAGTATTAGTTGAAACCAAAAGGTTGGGCAGGATGAGACTACAACCTTTTTTTTTTTTAATTTTTTAAAGATTCGATCTCTGCTCTTGTCACCCAGACTGGAGTGCAGCAGTGTGATCTCTGCTCACTGCAACCTCTGCTTCTTGGGCTCAAATGATTCTCCTGCCTCAGCCTCCTGAGTAGGTGGGACTGGTGCCTGGCTAATTGTTATTTTTATTTTTTGTGGAAACGGTGTTTCACTGTGTTGCCCAGGCTGGTCTTGAACTCCTGAGCTCAAAGGATTCACCCACCTTGGCTTCTCAAACTGCCGGGATTACAGGCATGAGCCACCATGCCTGGCCAAGACTGCAAACATTTATAATGACTAGAAAGCGAAGCTAACATGCATTTATTTTTTGACCTGTTGATAGCTTTGAAAGATGAAGTGCCAAGATTAAGGTGAGAATGGGAAAATTTAAGTTTTTTTCTCATGCTTATTTTTGCCTTGTTACACTTCTCGATAAAGAAAATGAACAAAGTACAGATGATAAACTATTGGTTCAGAACACACATTTTAGAGATTCTATTTTGTTAAGAGTAGTTCTGAAAACTAGATCTATTTTTAGGAGTTTTCTTGCCAGAAAAATGGAGCTTCATTTCTTTCTTTTCTTTTTCTTTTTCTTTTTTTTTTTTTTTGAGACAAAGTCTCACTTTGTTATCACCAGGTGCCAGGCTGGAGTGCAGTGGCATAATCTCGGCTCACTGTAACCTCTGCCTTCCGGGTTCAAGCAATTCTCCTACCTCAGCCTCCTGAGTAGCTGGGACTACAGGTGCACACCACCACGCCCAGCTAATTTTTGTATTTTTAGTAGAGACTGGGTTTCACCATTTTGGCCAGGATGGTCTCAATCTCTTGACCTTGTGATCTGCTCGCTTCAGCCTCCCTAAGTGCTGGGATTACAGGCATAAGCCACCTCACCTGGCCTCTTTTCTGAAACCCTCATCTGGAAAGCTTCTCAAGCCTCTTAGGCTGACACTTCACCTTTTGAAAGTCTGCCTCTAGGAGGAACATAGGCCTTATTTTCAGAGTGGCTTTTCACAGATCTGGTAGCGTAGGCACTGTAAGAGAGAATATGATACTTAATTTCTCTTTTTTTTGAGATGGAGTTTCACTCTTGTTGCCCATGCTGGAGTGCAATGGTGCCATCTTGGCTCACTGCCACCTCTGCCTCCCAGGTTCAAGCGATTTCAGCCTCCCATGTAGCTGGGATTACAGGCACATGCCACCACCTGGCTAATTTTTGTATTTTTAGTAGAGACAGGGTTTCACCATGTTGCTAATGCTGGTCTCGAACTCCTGACCTCATGATCCGCCCGCCTTGGCCTCCCAAAGTGCTGGGATTACAGGCGTGAGCCACCGTACCCAGCTGATACTTAATTTCATTGCCATTACACCTTGATGTACATTAAATATCAATACATAAGCAGTTCTTCAAATATATTAAAGAGTCGTACCAAAGGAAAATCAATACACTACTCTTTTAATGTCTGAAATAATTTGGGCGGAATCCTATTTTGAGAGAAGATACTAGAGATACTTGATTTCCGGTTCCTTCAGCTGTGATTTTGAGGAACTTTCCTCCATAGGGACATAACCTACCAGGGGTCACCTCTGTGATAATAAAGAGACTGGAGAATTATCTCATACTCAGTTCCTGTGTTGTGAAGTGGAATAGTTGAGGCAGAAAACGATCCATATTTTTCTTCAGAGTTAGCCACAAAGGGTCAGTAATACTGGCTTAGTTGATTTGATAATTTAAGGATACTTGATACTTTTAAATTATTTAATTTAAAATGATCTTAACTGGTCATTTTAATCTGGGACAGGAGTCCATAGAATTGTTTTTTAATTTGAATTTTCTTTTTTGTATCTGAAGGGATTATTTATAACCTTTATCACAGGGGTCCCTCCTGCACAGGTGGTGAGCGTCGTGTGAGTGGGCATTCATTGCCTGAGCTCTGCCTCCTGTCAGATCAGCAGTGGCATTAGATTTTCATAGGAGCGTGAACCCTGTTGTGAACTGCGCATGTGCGGGATATAGGTGTGTGATCCTTACGAGAATCTAATGCCTGATGGTGGAATAGTTTTCGTCTTGAAACCATCACATTTCCCCTTCCCTGCCGCCACCCCTCCCCTCCCACCGTGGAATAATTGTCTTCCATAAAACTGGTCCTTGGTGCCAAAAAGGTTGGGAAGTGCTGCTTTATCAGATCTTCAAAGGGGACAGGGAATCAAATTCATGTAAGAATCACAGTTCTGTATGATGTACATGCTATTTTTTGCTGCTAATCTCCAGATTTTATGGATATAAAATAGTCTGTCATCTGATTTTATTTTCTTCCAATAAAATGTGATTTCACTAATCTTCAGTTTTTCTGCCTTTAAGTAATATATCTCTATACTCCCATCTCTTCATCACTTATTTAATTTTTACCGAGAAGAGTTTGTCAGTTTTACTTTTTTTCCCAAGGGAGAGGCAACTATTGGGCAGGTTCCTTTAAAAAAAAAAAAAGTTTTTGAAGTATAGTTTATGTACAATAACATGCACACATTTAAAAGCATACTTTTCTGTCCAGGACATATTTTGTCTATCATGGCCACAAAAATTTTTGCCATTGTTTTTCCTAGAAGTTTTATAGTTCGTGTTTTCACATTTAGGTCTATGATTCATGTAGAACTAATTTCTCTGTGTATGGTATAAGATAGGGATTTAGATTCTTCCCCACCTTCAATGCAGATGTCCTGTTGTTTCAACCCCATTTGTTGAAAAGTCAATTCTTACTCCTTTGAATTACCTTGGATTTAAAAAAAAAAAAAAAAAAAAAATCAGTGAATATATAAAATGCCTGTGTATTTTTTTTACTCCATTCTGTTCCATTAACCTCTGTGTCTGTCTTTATTCCAGTACTACATTGTTTTCCCTTAGTATATTATAGTGAGTCTTGGAAAGTGCTAGGAGGCACTTTGTTGAGGAAAGCCTCTTCTTTTTTTTGAGACTGAGTTTCACTCTTGTTACCCAGGCTGGAGTGCAATGGCGCGATCTCGGCTCACTGCAACCTCCGCCTCCTGGGTTCAGGCAATTCTCTTGCCTCAGCCTCCTTAGTAGCTGGGATTACAGGCATGCGCCACCATGCCCAGCTAATTTTTATATTTTTAGTAGAGACGGGGTTTCACCATGTTGACCAGGATGGTCTCAATCTCTTGACCTCGTGATCCACCCACCTCCGCCTCCCAAAGTGCTGGGATTACAGGCTTGAGCCACCGCGCCCGGCCCGGAAAGCCTCTTCTTTTTTCTGGAATTTTTAATTTGTGGTAAGCAGATATACAAGATTTTTGCAAAATAATTTTCTGTGAACATTTTTAAGTTCTCTATCTGACTGTGAATGAGGTGCATTAGATGTTATTTGAAGTTAACATCAAAAGGAAAACTGTTGTTATTGACTAGAACTCTGGATTCATATATTCAGAATGGTTGCTGAAGCAGTGTCGCTAGTTGCATTCGTGGAATACTAGTAATTATAATTTGTACTGCAAGATTTTGCTTCCTAATTTTTTTTTTGTGGTAAAAACCATGAAAGTATATTCACATTGTGAAACAGATCTCCGGAACTATTTCATCTTGCAAAACGGAACCTCTGTAGTCATTAAACAACAATGCCCTTTCTCCCAGCCTTGCGTAACTACCATTCTACTTTTTTTCCCCTGTGAACTTGACATCTTGTAAGTGGAATCATAAAATATTTACCATTTTCCTTTTTATGACTGGCTTATGTTATTGACGTTGAAGTATGTGACAGGATTTCTTTTTTTAAAAGCTGAGTGATATTCCATTGTGTGTCTGTTGGCCACCACTCCCCTCATTTTGTTTACCATTAATCTCTGGGTAGACATTTGTGGTGTTTCCACTTCTTGGCTCTTGTGAATAATGCTGCTATGAACATGGGTGTGCAGATGTCTCTTGGAGTCTGTGCTTTCAATCCTTTTGGATGCATACCTAGAAGTAGGATTGCTGGATCATATGATAGTTTAACAGTAATTTCCTTTGGTTGCAGTTTTGATATTGAGAGTAGTACAGTTGACCTTTGAATAATGCAGGGTCAGAATGCAGGGCACCAACCAGTTGAAAAATGTGGTTATAACTTTTGACTTTGCCAAATCAAAACTAAATATAGCCTACTATTGACTGGAAGCCTCACCAGTAACAAACAGTTGACAAATATTTTGTATATTATATGTACTGTATATTGTATTCTTAAAGTAAGCTAGAGAAAGGAAAATGTTGCTAAGAAAATTATAAGGGAGAAAAAATACAGTTACTATACTGTATGGTATCAATAACATTAGCTTATGTTGTCTGTTTCAAAGAAATGTCATCTGTTAGAAATTGTAGGCAACCACAGCTGCAGATTTCAGTCTATGGTACATATCAAGCAATTCAGCTTTTTAATATTTGATTGTTGTTGTTCTTTTTAAAATTAAAGACAGGATCTTGCTGTGTTGCCCAGATTGGATTCAAGTTCCTGGGCTCAAGTGATCTTCCTGCCTCAGCCTCCTGAGTAGCTGGGATCATAGGCATGTACTACTGCTTCTGGTGTTTTTTTTCCCTTGTGATGTCATGCCTTCTAACTCTGCTTCTTGGGAGCACTTCCAGCATCACTAGGGGCTCTTTGTATGGAACTCATAGTGTTACTTAATAAGGTTTATGGTATTGTACTAATCATGATGAAAACATTAACTGTGAGAGATTACTTTTTACTGCAATATGCAGTGTTGGAGACATGAACTGCTCAGGAGAGGTGATTAGCATCACATGATGTTTTACACTAGGTGTTTTAAGCAGATGTTTGTAACATTTGAGCATGCTGAGGTAGCAACAGAAAGTGGCTATGAAACTGTTACACAAGTACACTATGTACTTCAGTTAATTTTATGCAGTTTTGATTTAATTCTCCATCTTTATGTTCACATTTTTCTCTGCTGTGTCCCTGCATAAGTTTTGATACGTTTTGACTTCATATGATAGGTTTGTATGTTTTATGGTAGTAAATGATAAAATCTAGTATTTATGTATATTTTATACATTCATGAAATACCTAAGTTTTTCTTAATGCTTCTGTTATTTCTAGGCTATGCAGTTGGTTTGCGAATTTTTTCAAATTGTCAAGTCTGCAAAAAATTTTCCAGTATATTTACTTGAAAAGAATATGCATATAAGTGGGACCTGCACAGTTGAGTCATATTGTTCAAGGGTCAGCAGTAGTCATTTTCATGATTAGATGTAGAGTGAGTGTGCAGCAAGTCGTGAATATGAATACGATTGAAACAGATACCACTGTTGAAAGGAGCACCTCTTTTTATGTTTATTTCTTTTGCAGATTGGGAAAATGAGGTATGTTAGTGTTCGAGATTTTAAAGGGAAAGTGCTAATTGATATTAGAGAATATTGGATGGATCCAGAAGGTGAAATGAAACCAGGAAGAAAAGGTGAGGTTTAATTACTTGAATTTTGTTATGGTGTTGGGACTAAACTAAAACATTTCTTAATTTTTTTTTTTTTTTTTTTTTTTTTTTGAGACGGAGTCTTGCACTGTTGCCTGGGCTGGAGTACAATGGCGTGATCTTGGCTCACTGCAACTTCCACCTCCAGGGTTCAGGCAATTCTGTCTCAGCCTCCTAAGTAGCTGGGATTACAGGTGCCTGACACCATGCCCAGCTAACTTTTGTATTTTTAGTAGAGAGAAGTTTCACCATGTTGGCCAGGCTGGTGTTGGACTCCCTTACCTGACCTAAACCTCAAGTGATCTGCCCATCTCTGCCTCCCAAAGTGCTGGGATTACAGGCATGAGCCACCATGCACGGCCTGAAATGGCAATTTTGATAAAACAGTATTCTAGTTGAAAGTATGAAAGAAAAATAAAAGAAAGTAAGAAAATCCGCAATGCTTAAATAGATTTTCACCTTTGAATTTTTAAACTTTGTTTTAGGTATTTCTTTAAATCCAGAACAATGGAGCCAGCTGAAGGAACAGATTTCTGACATTGATGATGCAGTAAGAAAACTGTAAAATCCGAGCCATATAAAACCTGTACTGTTCTAGTTGTTTTAATCTGTCTTTTTACATTGGCTTTTGTTTTCTAAACGTCGTTCTCCAAGCTGTTGTATGTTTGGATTGCAGAAGAATTTGTAAAATGAATACTTTTTTTAATGTGCATTATTAAAAATGTTGAGTGAAGCTAATTGTCAGCTTTATTAAGGAGGATTGCTTTGTGTCCACCACCTAGTGTAAAATAAAATCAAGTAATACAATCTTAACTGTTGTGGCCTTTTTTGATCATAAGCGTTGGTACTTAACTGTTTAAGGCCAAAGGTAACAGTTTTTATAGATCTTTTAGTTTCTTCTCAGCTTTTACAATAAAAAGGATTTGTATTGCATTGAGTTGATAAACTTGGTTTGTGCAATCCATATTTGATCTGTTCTCTTCCAATCCACCCCAATGATTTTTTTCACTCTTTATTTTGTTTACCTCATTTTCCTTTAATAACTTATGTTCAGTTTTTACTTCACTCTTTATTTTTTTTGAGTATGTTATGCTTATTTGGAAAGTGAGTGAAACTGTCAAACTGTTGTCTCAATAATGTACTTATATGAGAACTACAATCACCAAATCTACTGTATTCAATATTAGCAGATCTAGTTTGATAAGCAACATGGCTTGTGTGAAAACTGAGCAGGTGTTTGTCGTTACCCATAGTGTTCTGTGTAGTTATTGCTTAGTCTGCAGAAAATAATGACTTAGATGAGATATCTAACTTGCTTTCACTTATTAAACATGTTCATGGGATGATGTCTGTAACATCAGATATTGTTAAGACTAGGATTTAATAAAAGTTGTGCAAGCTTACTGGCCTAACATTTTATTTTATAATATTGAGTATGAATTATATGTAGCCAGAGATGTCATTAAGCTTTACTGTTACAGTAGGTAATATGGTTAGTTTGTAGGTAAAAGAGCATAAGTTTTGGCCTTTGCCCCAGTAGAACAGACAGTAGAACAGACAATAGCATTCTAGACTTGATGTTACTAAGTTTTAGCAGACACTAGTAAGTGGTTTGTATTTAACCACTCTGATAAAGCAGACGATTGAGGCACAGATTTTAGTGGCTTTGTGGCAATAAATAGGGCATGGTGTGCCTTAGGAAAAGAGTTTATAAATGGAATTATAACTGAAATTAAAGGAGGTGACAGTGAAGAGGAAATAATTCTCTTATTTAAATGATATACACATGACATTTTGAGATTTTTCTAACAGCAGTGGAGCACAATTCGAGGTAGAGTAGAAAAAGGAAAGGTTTAAAGACATAAAAGATTCTTGTTGAAAAATTATTTTTGGTAGCAAATCTCAAATGGTTACCTGCTAAGGGCTGCCATATCAGAGTTTTGCACTGTTTTGCTACCAAGTTTGATTTGCACATCTAAAATATTTTGTAGTTAATTTTCAAGGATCTCATTTCAAAATAATTTGCCAGGCCACATAGTTAGCAGTTTTTTTTTTCTGGCAGCTATTTTGTTGTATTTTTAAAACACTTTTTAGATGACTTTTTAAAGTATATTTAGCAGTAACCTTAAGAGGTGCAAATTGGTAAAATCTCTTGTAATTTATCCTTCATCAAATAATAAGTACCAATGTGTTAAAAATATGTATTTATTTTTACAGCCCCTTGAACCAGAGTAGGTTCAGAGAAACTCTTAAAATTTGTATTTTAGACACATCATGCTTGATTGGTAACTTCCTCTTTTGGGGGGACATGTTTGTGTCCTATTGGGCTAGATTTTTAAGTATTCCTTATTTTTGGCACATAGAAAGGGTAAAATACAGAACTTAGGTTTTTGAGGTAGATGCAGAGGGAACGATGGGTAAATTTTCTAGGTTTATGTGAATTTAGGGGGTGTATGCATTTTGAAACAGTCTACTAACAGATGGTGCTGAAATCTATTACCTACATGTTTTCTAGCTGTTTAGCATTATGTTAATAAAGCCTCCTTATAAGGAGTGTTTCTCTGGCACTTAGTATAGTGACTGCTAACTTCATTTAAATGTGTTACTGGAGACACAGTATACTGAAATTATTAATCTTTTTTTTTGTTTATAGCAAAAGAGAACTGGGTTAAAAGAAGTAAATTAACTTGTTCTGAAAATAAAGCATAGATTAATTTTGTTTCTGTTTAAATTTTATCTTGATATTTTTTTTTCCTAGGCAGAAAGCTTGGCATTTTTAGGCATAGATACCTTACCTTACAATGCCAAAATGAGTTTAATTCCAGTACTCAGGTTTTGCCCTTTAACAGACTCTCTGTGTCAGGGCTTTCTAATGGGGTTTTCCTCTTTGTTTTTAAAATATGAGCAGCATTTGACCAGCTTCTAGTGCTTTTAGCATTTCACTTAACAACCACTAAAAAAGAAAAACTTTGTAATTTAATGTCTTTTGCTTTGCTTTATCAATGCCTAAGAACTTAAGAATACTCCTACCTCATTAGCTAGTCAAGATGCTGTGATGGTCAAATCTATTCTACATAATGTGTTTAGAAACAGACTTGGGGGGAAATGAAGTAAGTATATTCTGACTTGGCTATTGAGGGGAAAAAAGAATTCAGTATTAAGTGTTTCTCACAGAGATGTTAGCAGAATACTATAAAAGTTTGAAATTTTTAAAAAGCATTAATATTTAGGTATCTCTCCTGAAGTTCTTTGTAGTTCATTTTTTATGGAAATTAATCCAGTGAAACATTCAAGTTTTTTTTTTTTTAAAACATGTTTTTCCAGATAAACTCTAGGGTAAACATTCACATAATCACAAATATGTAATTCTGTAATTGTGGAATGCCTGTATGTTTTGTTTTCCTACATCTTCCATGGAGATGTCTGAATATAATACTCCATCTGTGAATATTTTAAATGTTGAAATAAAAGTAAGAAATGTGCCCTTTGTGTTATCCCAGTTTTACAAACCTGAAGGTAAATAGGTAATTTATCTGTTGAATGGATTTTATTAATAGAATGCCTTTCTGTTTGAATGCTTTGGAATGTGGATTAGCTTTGGGTCTGTTCTTTTCATCTATCTGATCTAAATGGAAAAATGCAAACACTAAGGTGTACACAGGCTCTCTTTATTTTCTTTCTCTCTATAAGTTCTTTGCAGTCTAATGATTGCTTCATATACTTGACTGTGTCATGAACTCCTTTGAGTATTTCAGACTTATATTTTCACTTAACTCTATTTTGCCCTTTACTAGTGTTTTTGCTTAAGATATGTTGAGGTCTCATTTTAATTTCTTTTTAGCAATAGAAAGATCCATGGTATATTCACTTAATCAACTGTAAATTTTCTTTTAGTAAAACATACTGACTCAGTCCAGCCAGAAGAAGGAAAAAAATACCACTTGGAGTGTACACAATTAATCACTGACTTGATAGTTTTGTAGTATGGCTCAAAGGGAGTTACGGGGATAGGAGAGGTATTTGAAAAGTACTAAACATTTGAAAAATTATATAGAATTATTTGCTATATAACAGTTGACCCAATAGTTAGGTCCACTTTAAAAGAAACTGCCACAGACCGGCTGTGGTGGCTCAAACTTGTAATCCCAGCACTTTGGGAGGCCAAGGCAGACAGATCACTTGAGGTCAGGAGTTTGAGACCAGCCTGGCTAACATAGTGAAACCCCATCTCTACTAAAATACAAAAATTATCTGGTCTTAGTGGTGAACACCTGCAATTTCAGCTCCTAGGGAGGCTAAGGCAGGAGAATTACTTGAATCCAGGAGGTGGAGGTTGCAGTGAGCCGAGATTGTGCCGCTGCGCTCCAGCCTGGGCAACAGAGTGAGACTGCCTTAAAAAAAAGGTCTTGCTACGTGCACAGGACTTTTTCCACCACTTGCTTCACTCACATAGCCCGTTACAGAGTTAAGACCTTCCCAGACCTGCTTTTATAGACCCAGTCCTGGATTAATAGTGACCCACTGTTTATAAGTGAAACGCTTCTCTTATTTCACTCTATGTTCTTGATAGAGAGTTTAAGTGGTTTATCCTTCTGCTGGATAACTTACTGTAGTTAGGGGATAGATTTATGCCACTTGTGTTACTCTGCTCCTGAATTTCAACTCATTTCAGTAGTTTGATAATATAACCTCCGTGGGAGACAAAGACTATATAAAGCCCAGAAATTAGCTGAAATTGTCTATGTAGTAACTTGCATATCTTGAAAAGTGATGTGAAGTTCCAGTTTTGCCCTCCTAAATAAGCCTGTGTCTTTTAAATTTTTATTTATATATTTTTTGGAGAGATGAGTCTTTTGTGTTGCCCAGGCTGGAGTCCAGTGGCGTGGCCATTTGCAGATGTCCTAGTGCACCATGGCCTTAAATTTTTTGGCTCAGGTGATCCTCCTGCCTCAGCCTTCCTAGCAGCTGTACGCTACAGGTGTACATCACTGTGTCTGGCAAGCCCAAATCATAATGGCTCCTGTTCTGAAGGCTTTGTTTTTCAAGTGTGTACTTGTTGCAAGAATGGTACAGAAAACTCCCATGTACTCCACTCAGACCACATTCAGATTTTGTGAGTTTCACTGTCTTTTAGCAAAAGCATCTCAGGATCATGTGTCTGATTTGATTATCTCTTTAGTCTCCTTCAGTCTGACAGTTCCTTAGTTTTTCCTTGACTTTTACAATTTGATGTTTCTGAAGATTTGGTAATGTGAAGGCCATTGGCGGTGTTGACAGGGGTGGGGAGGGCAGAGGCTGGTGGAGTGAGGAGTGGAAACGGTGTGTAGACAACTCATTTGAGCAGCTTGGTTGTGAAGGATAAAGAAAAATGGAATGGGCTGGACTCAGTGGCTCATGCCTGTAATCCTAGCACTTTAAGAGGCCGAGGGAGGTGGATTGCCTGGGGTCAGGAGTTGGAGACCAGCCTGGCCAACATGGCAAAACCCTTTCTTTACTAAAAATGCAAAAATTAGTTGAGCCTGGTGGCAGGCACCTGTAATCCCAGCTACTTGGGAGGCTGAAGTAGGAGAATCGCTTGAACCTGGGAGGCGGAGGTTGCAGTGAGCAGAGATTGGGCCACTGCACTCTAGCCTGGGTGACAGAGCAAGACTCCATCTCAACAAAAAAAGGAAAAATGGGATGGTGACTGTAGAAGCATGTGGGATCCAGGGCAGAGTGTGGTTGAGATTACAGAGTGCAGCATCTGAGGGAGGGTGCCAAGTTCATAACTTCCTTCAGTATGAATTAAAGTTGGCCTTTGGTGTCAGCAACGGTTTCAGTCACCACCTTTTTTTTTTTTGGTGACTAAGTGCTACCTGAACCATGAGTACTTCTAGTAGTTTTAAAGAAAGATATGAATTACTTTATTTTAACATGAATCTGATCACTTGGTTCTTACGGCCCTCTTCTCCACAGTCAAACTCCCCAAATTCAGACCATGGCCTAGTCAAACCTTGGGTTTTGGCATCTGGGACCAGTCGTGCCTAGCCACGAGCCATTCTCATTCATTGTCTTTAAGGCACGCGCGATCTCAGTACCTTGTTGGAGTCACGGGGCCTGCTCTGGATGGGGAGCCTATAAATGAAGGAAGCAAGTTTAAGGCCTTTAATCTGTTGGAGGAGCCTAGGGAATGGCTCTAAGACACAGGGGCATGATGGAAATGGCCCCTCTAACTCAAAGAATGTTTGCTTCTGATTTCATTGACCTTGGACATGATTCCACCCCCTGTATTTTATCTTTATTTTTTTGAGAGATTCTTGCTCTGTCGCCCAGGCTGGAGTGCAGTGGTTCGACCTTGGCTCACTGCAACCTCTGTCTCCCAAGTTAAAGCGATTCTCCTGCCACAGCCTCCCTAGTAGCTGGG